TCCCGCCCTGCCACCATGGTTAACAGTCACACTCAGCTGGGGTAGAAAGCCTCGGGTGATTCATTAATAAAGGTCATTCTGATTTTACATGAAGGAAAATCCAAAGGCCTGCGAAACCCACGTTGTTTGAACACAGTGTTTTTAGTACAACCTCCATCAAGGCATCCTCAGTTGCCCCAGCCTCAGCGCTGCCCCAAGCGTTGCTGTTCGCTGAGGTAAGGGGTGGCTGTGGGTGAGGCCGCGGGGGGTGGGCGCTGTTCCCGGAGCTCCCTCAGAAGGTGCTGCTGGCACCCACAGCCAGGTCTGGTCAGTCTGTTACATACACCGACGAATAATGGCTTGATTCAGTGGGTTAGAGAGGGTAAGCGAACCACATGACTACTGTTACAATGCCCTCGAACACTGAGCAGTGCAGAGGGAAGGCTCAAGCCTGGATTTGTGCCCACACGAGGGGTGCCAGGGGCTTCAGGAGCAGCCTGGCGCTGCAGTGCTCAGTCCAAGCTGGACTGGACTCGGCTGCAAAAGAAGTGTTTTCCATTCTTGAAGCTGCCTACAGCTGATAACAGAAGAGGTGAACACGGACAATGTACAGAAAACAGTTTATCCTGTGTATTCTGTGTCCTGCTCTGAAAACTCGCCTGCTTGACACGGGAGGAGTAAAAGTGCCATGTATACCCAGTGCTTCCCCCTCGCTGGCATTGCAGCTAAGCACTCCACAGCGCTTATCCTCAACACAAATGCCAAAATATAAGCAATTTATTCAATGTCAAAGGAGGATCATGACAAAGCCAAGTTCTCAAACCTGTGTCTCATCAAGTTTAGTACGTTGCCCTCTTCTCAGAGAGGCTGTGGTGGGTTGGCCCTGGCTGGATGACTGGTGCCTGCCAAAGCCACTTTATCACTCCCCTCCTCAGCAGAAGGGAGACAAAACATAACAAAAGGCTCATGGGTGAGATAAGGACAGGGAGAGATCCCTCACCAATTACAGTCAAAGGCAAAACAGAATTTACTTGGGGAAATAAGTTTAATTTATTACCAATCAGATCAGAGTAGGATAATTAGAAATAAAGCCAAATCTTAAAAAAACTGTCCCCCCACCCTTTCCCTTCATTCCAGGTTCAACTTCACTCCCAGTTTCTCTACCTCCTCCCCAATGAGCGGCACAGGGAGACAGGGAATGTCCAAAACCTTACCACACAAACCCAGTACAGAGGCTACCTGGAAATTCAGAGAAATAGAACCAGCCATGGGTTATCGTCGCATCATTTTGTTGAAGTTACATCAACATGCAACAGTGAGAAGTACTGGGCATACAGCTTTTTGACTGATTCCAACCTAGAAGCACATATGTAAGAACAATGAAGCAAAGCTAGCTGAACCCATAAGCATCTTAGAGATGAATAAGACAGGTGAAGGTAATTTAGAAGATGCCTGTGCTCAGGCAGTTGGACTAGGTGATCAGTGTAAGTCCCTTCCAAATGAAATATTCTATTCTGTTCTACGCAGAATAAAAATATAAATATTATCCAAAAGATTAAATTTAGTTCTTTTCATAACAGTTCTCTATATTGGTCTTAAAGTTCTACTGCCCCAATAATTAAAACGGTATAATTACTCATTCCATATTAACAAGTGCATCCATATTTAAAATAAAAATGTTCAGTGAATGGGACATGCTGGTATGTCCTATTTTAAAGAAATCACTTATATCACTTTGGAATTTTATCTGGTGCTCACAAAGTGAGAGAAGGTAATTGTTTAAGAGGAATTGAATGTAAATACCATAATTTCCAACATAAAATGGAGTTATGAATATTAATGCATGAAACTAAGCCTGCCCAGCTGACAGCTTGCAAGACACATCTGGCCTCCAGGACAATTTTCCACTATCATATAAAATTATACATCTCATCTGACAACTGGCCTTAGCTTAAATGGGACTGATGTAATCCACTCCCAATTGCCAAGAAGTTGAGAAGTCTTGCATTGGATTTACAGCTTGCTTATTCTTACCAATTACGGAGGCCAAGGCATACTTCTGGCCCTGTAAATCCTTATAATACCCATGTCTAAGCAGAGGACATGAAAGTAAGCAAAGTGCTGGATGTGAAACTCCATGACTTACAGAAAAAATATGCATACATGGCACTTTGAGGAAGCAAGTGTAGCATATCTTGGTTGTCGCAGACTAACTTGGAACTACAGCAAATGAGTAACAGTGGGGACACATCACAAAATATCAACCACAGACCAATTCAGCAGTCTTGGAGAGTTTATAGCCTCATTTTTAGTCCTTGCTGAAGCTGTGTCCCATGTTCACCTGTGCTATTTAGTGTTATATTCTAACTTAACATGACTGTATAGACATATCTGAAGTCTTGCATGTGCAATGAACATGATAACTGAACTTCTGCCCACCGATTTTCCTTGCAGTTGTTTGTATCTATTATGTGCAGGGTATGAAGCAAACACAGATGTCGTTTTAATATGTCCTTGGCAAACCAGCTACTGATACAACGTTGTGTGTAGTTATATGGCAAAGCACTACAAAGTATGTTGGATTTTTCAATTAAAAAAAAATAAAGTTTTGATGCCATCTTGAAATTTATTTAAATATAGTTTCTAAAACATTTGTATCATTACAAATGCCAAGTGTGCGAAACAAGTGGATTCCTTTAACAATTACATTTTAAAATTGTTACTTTGTGTGTTTTATCCTACAAGCCCAGTTGGCACAAGTAGTCCCAGTAAAGTCCGTGGTATAACAACAGGAATTCCTGACTAATAACATAAGTAAATCTTGCAGGATAAAAACCTTAAACGGGAGGGTGTATTTTATCCTTCTGAGTGTTAAACATTATTAATACTTGAAGTTACTATTAAACCTTTTATCTGTATCAACAAGGACTTAACAAGGTTTTAAAGTCGAACAGTTCTTTTTCCAACTATGTGACTTGGGGATAGTATCCTGTTTAATTGTGTGTATTTCTTCCATTTATGACTCCTTTATCTTTGAGGTGATGTTTCCTTGTTTTTGTTTAACATTTTATTACATAACACACATCCTTTAAGTTGCATACAAAAAAACCTCCAACATCAGTGTGCTGATTGTACTTTATTTTATTAAAATAAGTTACAAGACCCCAAATTACTTTCCCATTTAATGGACAGGTGACATAGGCACATTTTTGACTCTGCCTTGCCATTTCACAGTTTTATATAATGGGACATACTGTATCTGTTCATTTTTTTCTGTATTTACTTTTAAATAAGAGAATAAAAATGCAGTTCATGCAGAAAAGCAGTACCTTCTGTACCACCTGTAGTACAAACTGAAGCACGGCAGGTATAGGTAGCTTTATTGTTATGAACTGACTGTATGTGAAGATCCTCAGCATCACCGTATTTTAAAGACCATTGTCTCTCTGAAGTCTTCCTGACATTTGTCAATAACAAACCAATTGCTGTTTTGTAAGCTGTGCAACAAAAAAAAGCTTGCTGAACACAATAAAAAGGATTGCTTCTGAAATGTTATTTTAGAATTAAGCAGAATGATAGCTCAGACAACCTGCTGTCTGCCTTGATACACCTGCAGCTTCTCAGACACTTCATCTAGTGGTCAGTTGTTAAGGACAATGTAACAGATGGCTGTAAGGTTTGGTTTACTTATAATCTTTCTCATTGTTTCATTTTCAACAAATAGTCTGTTTTCTAAATGAGGTCAATACATGCTTGAACCAGAGATTTTAAAACATTTTTGAGATCTGTCAAGACCTAGCAACTTACCAGTTGATCTCAACAACCTTACTTTCTTAGGAGCTGGACCAAGTGACATTCAGGGCTGCAGAGCAGCAGGTGATGGTCTCTGCAGCTTTTTCCAGGTTGTCTTGAAATGATGCTAGGGATACAAATTGCACACCAAAGAATAATTTTGGAAGAAAGCCTCAGTTCTTTGTAACAAAGCATATTCTTAGCTTGAAACCACCACATTTTCTTGCTTAACATTAGCCCTTTCGGACAGAAGGGTTGTTCTCTGAAGGACATGGTACTATTGAGATGACATTACAGGTTTAATTATATCTTGGTGTTCAGTTTCAATTACTTAGATTCCCTGGAATTTTATATTATAATCCAATGAAAATTGGAGTCTTCCCTTCACCTTTCCCAGACAGATACACTGAACTCCAGGCATGCTGCAAGAAGAGGGATTTGCAATTAGACCTTATAAGTAACTTATAATTTATCCAAGAAGTGGGAAAGTCTTGTGTCCTTGGCAGAAGTTTTAATTTGGCTTTCAGAAACTTTGGCGACCTGAAACATTAATTTATCTGTATAAATTATGAGTCAACGTAGAAAACTAACTAGCCTTCTGCTTTGCTCTCCTTCTTTGATTGACCCTAAATACCCCACTCTTCCTTGATTTTGAAGCCCCTGGGATCAGGATGACAACCACAGATGTGATGCTCCCCTAAATCAATTCCTATTTGAACAAGAGCACCTTTTACAGAAAAAAACATGCAGTCTCAAAAATTTCCAGTGATTAAAATCTTGGTAAATTGTCACTGTGATCAACCACTCTCACTTCTAAAAATTCTTCCTGATGTTGACTCACAGCTTGCCCAACTTTAACTTCCAGTTATTAATTCCCACTATGCCATCTGAGGGCATTTATTCCAGAATTAATGTTTGCTGTGGTACCACACAGTTCACTACTTTCTCTTTTTTTTTGGTTGTTTTTTTCTCTCCCACATGTTTGTGAAATGTCTATGCAGCTGCAGCAAATGAAGCTGTCAAATTCCAGCACAGCGTAGCTGGCACCCACCAGCCTGTGCCTCCAAAGTCTTGTGGACCCAAGGCTTGCCCAGTGCCTCCAGCCTCAGCACCCTGCCTTGCAGCTCTCCCATTCTCGAATATCCCAGAATATGGATATTAATAGGCTAGCACATTTTCACAGAAAAGAAAAAGGTGCATGAAGATAGCTTGGGACAGGGTCCGCCTGCAGAGGTGGGATGCAGAGGAATACCGCAGCTAATGGGAGACTGTTGTCACACTGCCTGTGAAGTTGTCTTGAAAATTTTGGGACTTAAGAGGAAGGGTCAAAACTGAGCATTTGCTATAACAGTAAAAGTCATCTGGAAGAATTATGAACAGAGCAATGCTTGATGTTCAACACAGCATATATAATATAGGGGATGTGGGCATGTACATTTTAACTTTATACTAAAGCCCTTCAATGAAATGTGAAAACATAATGGTATTTGCAACAACCAAGATTTTGCTCCATAACACTTCTAAAATCACCATGAAAATATTTTCTGTTTTGAGGGATGTTCTTTCCCTGGCTTATATCAAAGCAGCTACCTTTAAACACCAGTGAAGAGTTGAATGCAGAAGATCATGTAAGAAAAAGGATATATTTTGTGGACAGAGCTTCAAGCCGTGAGGTGACCGAGTCCTGCAGGGCAGCTATGGCTTCACACTTGCAGGACTCCTCTGTTGTTATGAGACTGCTTGTTGTGACTCCTAAGAGAGAAAACAGCTTTGAGTATATTTATGACAATTATCAAGCATTTAAATCCCAGGAAAACGTGATTCTTCAACAGGAGTTGAACTCATGCTGTGAGACTACAGCAGCACTGCAACCCAGGGCAGTCGGGAAGGAGGAGCAGCAGTGACGAGGGGCCAGCGCGCAGCCGGAGATACCAGTGTTAAAGTCCAGAAACAGGACAGGCAAGAGAGAGCTTGACTCTAACTGAGGAGGAGCCAGAGCAGGGGGTTCCTAGCCTGCCTACCTGGATCCTCTGCACTCTTTAAATTAGACCATTATTGAGCAAAATATAAAAAGATGCCTGGGTGCAAGGACCAACCAGCCTCCCCCATCAACTCTAATCGCTAGACTAGAGTGAACCTTCCCTTTGCCTGCTGCCTCTCCCTCTTACCCAGAATATCCCCCATGCCAAAAGGAAGTGCACCCTGGGAGGTAGACTGAGTGTGTTTTAAGTGCTGTAGAGTGAGAAGAACCTGCAGTCCAGGTCTCCATCTTGTTAGTAGTACTTTGACCATCAGGCTATCCACACAGGAAGGCCACTGGCATCACTGCAGACAGAAGTGTTCACTTGGCTGCCTTTAAGGCCATGATTAGGTTGTTGGGCTTCTCTTCAGAAGAATCATAGAACCATAGAGTGGTTTGGGTTGGAAGGGACCTTTAAAGACCATCCCCCTGCCATGGGCAGGGACACCTCCCACTAGACCAGGTTGCTCAAAGCTTCATCTAGCCAAGCCTTGAACACCTCCAGGGATGGGCATCCACAGCTCCTCTGGGAAACCTGTTCCAGTGTCTCACCATCTGCATAGTAAAAGATTTTTTCCTCATATCTAAATATATCTAAACATACCTAAATATAATCTAATTATTGCTATCTATCTATATAAAATCAAGGTTGCTGCTCTGTCCAACCTGGAGTGTAACAATATTTGGAGTATCTATCACTCCCCAACACAGCACTTCTGAGAATGCATTAAAGTCCAAAGTTAAGCCTCCGGGGGGCTTTGCAAGTCAAGCAGAAAGGCACCTGGTGATTTTAGGCACAAGAAGAGCCAGTTACTGTCAGAAATTGTCAGGTTTGGATCAGTTTCTCAGATGTGGGTGGAATTTAGATACCTAAGTCTCATCTTGGGAAGGAATTAAAATATCTGAATTTACCACTTATACAAAAGTATGATTCTATTTAGTGTTATTATAAATAATACAGAAAAAATGAAAGCAGAAACAGATGTATTAATTTTATATAGCAAGCAACAGAGGTTCCACTAAGTGATCAATGTGTATCACCCCACAAGTACTCTTGGTTTGTAATACTGGCAATATGTATGCAAAGGGAGTATCATTTTTGATTCATCAAGAATTGTGAACACAAGTCCATTCCAATGTCACGTGAATATGTACGGAGGGAACAACAACATTTAAATGGGACCAACTGAATTTAAAATCGAGCAGAAAGGCACAGCAATCAGAACTAATCAGTCTCTTAGGAAAGAGAAAACAAGGAATGATTCCATTGAATCCATTGCTAGGTCTTGCCCCCAGTGTTCCAGACTTAACCCAGGACCAGCCTCAGCTGTCCTCGGGAATTACTTTTACTCCATAATCCACCACAAAACGGCTACTGCAGTGAGATTACTGTCTATCTCTGAGACCAGAATAATAAGCTTCCAAGGGCAGAGTCTCCTTAAAAGAGGGTCTACGATTATCAAACACCCTTTCAACAAGTTATCAAGAAGGACTGCTTGTATGTAATACCTGACTCTTTGTACATGTGTTTTTATGTGGCTCGCAAAGGCAACGACAGCAGATTATTCAGTTACTTCTTCTGTAGGTAGGTATATAAATGCATAGCTGATCAATGCCAAACAAATTATGTGAGCATTATAATGGTAAAACAATTGAAATATTATAACTGCATACAATCTCACTTGTTTTCTGAATTGTTTTCTTTTCTCTTTTGCTTATCAATCATGCCATTGATATTTCTATTTTGCAAGGAAACTGATGTCTGCTTGAATTACAGAAAAATGACTGAAATATATCAATTTCAAAAAGTTTTTCACTCAGTGTTTCACTGAAAACATCTATGAACAGATTCATTTCTAGCAGTGTAGAAATTAATTTGTCTTAGAGCCAATGCTGAAACTGGTGTCTCCTTGATTCCACTGAACCTGTATTTGTCCAGCTCCCTTTTCTGGAATGTTCCACTGGCTTTGTGGTTGATGTACAAAGAAGAGCTGTTCAAGATTCAGCTGGAGCAAGGCCATTTCAAAATATCACACCAACTCAGTTGGTTTCCAAACAACTGCCAGTTATTTTTATATGTTTGCATTTAAATTCTCCTATGATAGATACAGATCCTCTTTGGATTATGTCTGTTTTAACAAAATGACTTCTCCAACCAGCTGTGGTAAGTGCCCAAGGGCACCCTGAAGTCTTCCACAGTCCTTCTGTGAAATTTAGAGTCTTCCAGTATCTCATAATATTAATATCTAATCTAAATCTACCCTCTTTCAGCTGAAGCCATTATCCCAGAGAAGCTGTGGGTGCCCCATCCCTGGAGGGGTTCAAGGCCAGGCTGGATGAGGCTTTGAGCAACCTGGGCTAGTGGAGGGTGTCCCTGCACATGGCAGGGGGGTTGGAACTCGATGATCTTTAAGGTATCTTCCAACACAAACCATTCTGTGATTATATGATTCCATATATCAGTTCGTACAGAATGCATTTTGGAGAAGCAGTTATCCGAAAACAAGATAACATTTTTTAATGCTTCCCAGTGGCAATGCTTTTCCATGCTGGGAGCCTATCCTACGTGAATCTTACTAGGAACTACTGAGATGTGTAACAGATCTTGCCTTGGAGCAGTTTCCACAGTACTGCAGAGTGTGTGACTCTGCAGCTCTTCTCTCTTCAATTATTTCTCAGTTCTGTGTTTGCTGAGTATTGTATATTTTCGTAATACATTGAAGGCCTTAATTATAAGATGATAAAGAAAGACCAAATGGTAGGCAGTTACTAGCATTGCTGCATATAAACTGCTTCATATCTCTGAATGTTGCTCAAAGTGGAAAAGCCAGAGTGACATAGGACTGTCTTATAACACTTGAATGCATGTGAAAGTTTCTCAAACTCATCCAAATATATTAACCTGCTAATGAGAGCTAGTTCAGTAGAGGTTCTTAGCTGGGGAGGGCTGGGGGGATAGGGAACAGCAATCTGCTCTTACTTGAGCACGTCTTCTTGTCCGGATTCAGGGTGTAGCCTTGGTAGCAGTCGCAGGTATAGAACAGATCATCTCTCACGCAGACCTGCTCGCAGTCATGCCTTCCAGGTGCACACATGTCGGCAGCTGAGGAAAGCATTTAAGAAGAGAAGAATATTAATCAATACCCAAACTTCAGCCTTTTCAGTTGGTGTTAGTGATTGCCATTTGCAAAAATACCTTCATTTGGATTCAAACCAGGATGTTTTTATTGCACGTCAGGACGCGATTAGGCATAGGAGGGTATACAGTGTACGTTTTTATCTGGCTATCAACATGACAAAATTAATATGATTTTTGGAATACTGGCAACACTTTTTTGCAGTTGTAACAGATTGCAAAAGGAACTAAGCTAGCAGTGACTCAGTTACAAAATAATTATCTGAAAGAATTTCACAGAACAAATATCTGGATTTTAAGAGACTATTTGGCATTATTTCATCGCTAATTGAGTTGGATAAGACACTTTTATGGAGTGAAAAGACCATAAACAGAAGAGTATACATGGCTGCTAAAAAAAAAGAAAGACGTGGCACCCGCTGCCAGTTACAAAGTGGGCACTTTATGTGTGAGGCTGATGTTTTCTGCCAAATTTAACACGTCAACTCTGAAAGGGCAAGTTGAGAAGGAGTTCCTATATTTGGATATCTTTGCAGTAAGGAGGTCCAGTAAGGCAGAAGGAAAGAAAGCAAGAAAGCAGGAAGGAAAACAAGAAGGAAGGAAAGGAA